AAGAGGGAGCCTTTAAAATAAAACCATGGTTTTAATAAGGAGCATTTAAAATAAAACCATGGCTTTAATAAAAGGGGGCTTTTCAAATGAAGATAAGATAAAGTCAGGATTGAATTTTTTTAAAAAAAAACCCCAATGTTTACGAATCTTTTTTAAAAAATCAAGTTTTCCATTTAAATCGTGCCATAATCGATCTGATTTACTACAGTACATCGAACCCACCCTGATTAAATAGTATATTTTCCCAAATTACCCTGATGTCCCGCAAAAGGGGACCAGGAGCCCAACTCTGCCCTGAGCTCCTCCATGAGGACTAGCTCCTTGGCGAGGCCTGGCTCAGGCCCTCCACCTTTTTTGCTTGCCCACAGGGTGAGGGAGTTGTTTCCNAAGAGCCCGGCCACCGGGAACTCGGGCCCCCGCTCCCGAAGCTCGCTGGGCGGCAAGGCCTGGACGGCCACCCGCAAGGCCCGCAGCTCCTCATAAGGGGAGTCCATCCGGGAGACCCTCCCCAGGAGCTCCAGAGCCGCCTCGACGCCGGGCGCCGCCATCTTGTGGGATGGCCGGAAGTGGAGGGGCGGGACGACGAGGAGGAGGAAGAGGAAAGACGGGAAGGAGCGGCGAGAGAGTCTCGCGAGAACCTCCGCCCCTGGGCGACCGGAAGCGTCACTAAGGACTCGCGCTCGCGCCCGCCCCTTTTGTCTCCCTCTTCCTCGTCACTTCGTTGGGGATCTCTTCTGATTGGCTAAGGGGGAGAGGAGGAGGCGGGGAGAGGAGGAGCCAGGGAAAGGGGGCGTCGCTCCCTTGTTTTGTGGTTTTTTTTCCCCCTAGAGGGGCGGGTGAAGCAGTGGTTTCGCTAGACTTCCGTGATTCCCAATGAAGCTTCCTCTCAAGGAGGGCTAAAAAAAGGGGGGGGGGAGAAAGGGAGAAAGAGTAAAAAAATTGAAATGATAAGTGTGATATGATCCACATTCTCTTTGGGCCTCTGATAAGTCCTGAGTTCAAGCCCCAAAGCAGGTGAACGTGACACAAGAGCGCCTCTGGGCATGTGCAGAGTGCCACGCCCGTCTTTCGTCTCCTCCTCAAACTCTTAAGGATCCAGTCGCCTTCGGGGAGAAAGGCGGGATAGAAATATTTTAAATAAATCAACAAGAAAAAGACATTGTCGTCTGGAAAGTGGGCAAGCTTTTGGGTCCCACAGGACGCTTCGTCAGGTTGGGCCATTACCAAGCTCTGGACGAAAAAAAAATCAAATAACCAACCTCTGGCTACTGTACTGAAGCTTCATGGCCTCAAAGTGTCTGATCAAGAAGGCTCTTGGTCCCAATATCTCAGGATTCGCCCTCCTCCTTGTTTGGGTGAAGGGTAGCCCGCGGAACTACAGCATACTTGATAGTTACAAACAAATACAGAAACAAACAAGCAAAAGATGTGGCCAGCAAACACTACAATACCCCCCCAGCCAGCCTTCTTTAAAAAAAAAGACCATTAACTCTCCCAAAATCTTCCCTGGGAATTGTAACAATACAGAAGTATTTAATTTTATATTTTAATATTATATTTTAACGATGTGAAACCCCCCCCCGTTCACATCATGATATAGCCCTTTTCAACTTTAAATGATGACATATGGTATTTTTTTTATTCTTGTAAACCGCCTCCAGTCCAGAAAGGTGGGGTATAAATATTTTAAATAAAATAAGTTTGCAACCTGGTGTGTGTGTGTTTTTAAGCAGCCAGAATATTTACACCTTTTCCAGTAAACCAGTTAATAATTAAAAATAATAATCCTGGTATCGTTGGACTCGAGGGGGGGGAGGCAGGCTGGCTGGAGCTTTTTTAAAAAAGGAAGATATCTCAAGGCTGGCGGGGGAGGGCAGAGGGAGATGATGCCCGGTAGGCGGGGGCACCAGCTGGCTAGAAGGAAGCGCCTGCAGAAAATAATTGGGTTTTACGTTTGCAAACGACGGGCGTCCACGGATCCGGGCTTTTTAAAAAAGAAAGAAGCAAAAAAACAGGGTTTTCCGGACTGGAAATAGGGATTAAGGACTGGAATTGGTGGGGAAAGGAGGGTGATCGCTCGTGGGGAGGGGGTTTAGGATGATGAATGGGAGGATCCAGCGTTTCCGCCAGGTGCTCAGCTCCGCGATCCACTGGCTTTCTCGCCCGAGTTTCGGGAGTTTGCTGCTGGTAAGTTTTCTGATGGATGATGGCCAGCCTGAAAGGGAAAGGGTGGCATTGACCAGAGGCGAAGGTGAAATTTACCAGAGGCAAGAAGGAAATGGGCAATTTTCCCTGAGCTATGTAGCACCTGCTCCCGAGTAAACCTGCAATGGCACACGTGTTGCATTCCAGAACAATATGTTGCTTTTCTTTCTGGAAAAAAGGAGCGCCCATCAGGGCTGTTTCATTCCCTGGGCAAACAAACTTCCGCTTAATTTTTAACTTTTAAAATGACCATTTAGCTCCCACCCCAAAGAAGCAGAGGGCTTATATTTAAAAGGTGGTTTTCTTTTTATTTCGTTTTCTTTCTAGCCTTTTTTTTGTTCCTAGCTTGCTTTTCGAATGGCGAACAAGCCAGGCGGACCAGCCCTGCCTTGTTTCTGACCACAAGCTGCATCATCCTTGAAAGTGGGCCATAATGGCTGGCGCATATGGGAGTTGTAGTCCCAAAATACAAAGATGAGGAGGAGGCGGTCGCTTTCTGGTTATCATAGCATTCCAGGGTAAAGGAAAGGAACAATCTGCTAAATGTTTTAATTCAAAGCGGATGGGACGTGTACGGCTCTCCAGGGGTTGTCAATCTGCTAAATGTTTTAATTCAAAGCGGGTGGGACGTGTACAGCTCTCCAGGGGTTGTTGGATTACAACTCCCATCATCCTTCACCGTTGGTACTGCCTCCTGTAATGTGGATGGGATCCGGGGAGAACTTAAACTGGATTACAGCTCCCATCATCCTTCACCATTGGTGCTGCCTCCTGTAATGTGGATGGGATCTGGGAGAACTTAAATAGAGCAGGACTAGAGAATTACACGATCCCAAAGTTGGACTCCGGTTCCCATCAGTCCCGGCCGGTGGAGAGGGACGATGGGGGTCGTGTTTTCACCAACAGGTTTCCCCCGCTCCTAAAAATCAAGGTTTGCCTTTAAACCGAGGACTTTCCTCAATCGATTTAACAATTTGGGATTTTGCTTGCCGTTTTTATGATGGATTAGCAACCGTAAGGAGAGCAGGAACAAACCACCCCAAAAGGACGGTTTTGTTCAGCTGCAAAGAGGGTGTGCGTCCTATGGCATGAAAATGGAACCGATTTATAGTGGTAAGACTTTCACGATAAGGGAGGCATTTCAGGAATGGCTTTACCCGTTCCACAACCGCCAGTGAATTTCCATTTCCTTGAACCCGGTAATCCATCACTCTATCCACTACCCCACACTGGGAATCCCTGGGAGGTTGTACCCCATATATTTGAGCTGCCTTGTGTTTGCATTATTGTTTCCCGCGAGCCTATTTCTGCCGATTTTCCCACTCTCTTTTTAAGGTCGTGAGTTTGTCTTTGCTCATGTACCCCTTCCTCCACACGGTCGCCTTACAGCTCCACTCAGCCCTCACAGGGAGCTACATCTCCGGAACCCATTCCCTGGCCCTCGTCAACTGCCCTAACGAAGACATCGCTCGGGATATTGCCAGGTACGCATTCTTGGTTCGGAGAGGGTCATGAATAATTGAAATACTTGCTCTCTCAAGAGAGCGTTGTGTTGTTGTTGTGTAATGGCTCAGAATAGCCTGCTCTTCCCCCCCCCCCAAAGTTGGGCGAGCAGCTTAAGAGAGTCAGAAGAGGCTGGATGTATTTGGAACCGTGAGCATATATAAAGCTGCCTTATTAGCAGGGTTTATTTCTTTGATGAACAGGGGGACACTAATGTGCAGTTAGGGACGGGAAGTCAGCGCCATGGGAAAGCGGATCAACATGCAATTTGGAAGTGTTAATTTCCAATCCCATCATGCTGAGAAAGGGTGAAAGGAGCAGGAAAAGAGGAATTCCCAACACAAGAGGGTCGGGCTCCCTAAAGGAAGCCACGAGATTCCATTTGCAAGAGCTGGGCAGGGCTGTTGTGCATTGGACGTTTTGGAGATTGCTCATCTGAGCATCTCTATAAGTCAAAGGGGATTTGACCGTACATAACAATATTTATTCATTTTATTTATATAAAGGTTATGCTTTGTAGATCGCACATGGGTTTGGAATTTGTAATAAACCCTTGCAGGAAGTTTTTAAAAACATTCCCAGGTTATTATAAATCTGGGGGAGAGCAGGAACAGGATACAGGAGTCACAGTGATGGTTGCATCACTCAGAGGGGGCAGCAGGAATAGATGACAATACACAGAGATAGCTTTTTCTGTGAATCATCCCGGTACTGTGGATCAGATCTGATTCCTAGCAAACCGTTCGCCGTATTTTTCCGTGTATGAGACGCCCCCATGTATAAGACGCCTCCCCCACTTTTCGAATCCAAAATTAAGAAATCTAAGTGGGGCTTAGCAAGTGCAGGGGGAAAGGGATCAAAGTGCTGCAGGATCGCTTCGATCCCTGCTTTCCCTTCCACTTGTTTTTGTTCTCTCCTCAGCTTACTTCCGTGTATAAGACGACTCTCAATTTTTAGTCTAAAGATTTTAAAAGTATAGTCTTATACACAGAAAAATACAGTATTTGGGCCATTTGTACCATGAGAAAAATCTGTTCGGAGTTTGGATCGTTTCTCCATCTACTAGCCAGATTCTCATTGAATGTTTTTAATCTGACCGGCCGCGTCTTGATGGTGTGATAAGCAGATATTTTCACTTAAAGCGGAAGATCCTTTTCCTCCAAGGAATCAAGACTCAAACCTTCACTTGTTGCTTCTGGGTGCTTGGTTCATTTTCAAAACCGGACGGAAAGCTCAGACTTTCTGGGTGCAGAACCTGGCTTTGTGGGGTCTGGTGGTCAAAGATCAGGATCCCTCCGTCGGACGACACGAGCGGTAAAAAGCTGCGTGGAAGGGGTAGGAGTCGAAAGAGCAGCTCAGAGAACTTCAGGAAAATATCCAAAGTCTTAACACGGTGGACTTCTGCCCAGCTTCTAAGCCTGAGCTTGACTAGGACGGCTTGTTCCAGAACTGGATCACTGTCAAGGAGTGAAATGTGGAGCAAAGAACATGGAGTTTTCCAGGGCACATCTTTATAAATAGACTTACTGTATTTTTCGCACTATAAGACGCACTTTCCCCCCACAAAACAGGGTGGTGGAAAGTCTGTGCGTCTTATGGAGCGAAGAAAACAGATTATTTTTTCCTGTTTTCTTCTCCTAAAAATTTGGTGCGTCTTATGTCTTATGGAGCGAAAAATACGGGTACTTATTTCTTTTTTCCACATCATCACTTACACACGGATGCAAGTTCTGTGGAGTTGGAGGGAAGAAATGTTGGTGCTTCCTTCTCCTCCTCTGTGGCATCGGGGCTGAAGGAACGGATCTTAAGGACCAGCCACGCGTGGTCCTTCCCAAGAAGTGGAGTTAAAAATGGGAGTATTTTGCAGGAAGTTCTGGCTTGATCTCGGGCTGAGCAGAAGGAGTATCGGTAGATAATAAAATGCCTGGGAATCTATAAATAGACGCTGAAAGCCGGCTATCAGTGGATGGCTATGGAGACCAGGGGAGGAAAATTCCCAGCCGAGGATTATTGTAAAAGAGAGAGAGAGAGAGCGAAAGATGGGATGTGTCTATAATGCTATTATATAAACCTATAGCACCACTGGATTTGAGATACATCCATAGTTTTGAAGCACACACACGCTGGTCTGTATTATTGTTTTTTAAATTGGGATTCCTCCCCCCCCCCAATAATTGGACACCTCTGGATTGCTACGTTAGGAATAACTCCCAGGGTAACTTTCCATCCTTTCATTCCTCTATTTTTCTCTCTCTTTTCTTGCCCCCTGGCTTAAAAGTGGCTGGTGAAATGGCACCTGTTGTTTTAACCGCAGCTCCCAGCAAGGCCCAGAGCATGCTTCAAAGCTTGGGAGGGCGGAAAGCTCTCTGAGCATGAGCAGAGAGCTGCTAGCCTCCAGCACGAGCTGGTTAAATTTATTTTATTTAAAATATTTCCCTCCTGCCTTTCTCCCCAAAAGGACGTCAGGCGGCGTCCATCACTGGTGCTGCAAAATCAGCAAACGTCTCTAACTTCTCACAAATATATATATCACCTTCCTTGCGGGTACTACAGGACTTGTGATGCTTGTATATATATAAAAAAGCCAAGTTCCTAGCCCTCATGAATGCAAATGTGAGCATCACAACTTTACATACGTAAGGTTGAGATTTTTACTACTTTTCAATAACATGATCCCATGGCAATAAACCTCCACTTTCTTTCTGCTCAAGGCCCCCAACGTCAGTCGGTAGCAGGACATCCTGTAACGAAAGCCTCTGGAGGCATGCCAGGCTATCCTGTGAGAACTGCAGTCATCATCCGATGGCTGGTTTTGAGCCTCAAGTCTTCCCAAAAGAGTTGATCTTGGCTTTATGGCATGTCATAGAGGATCCATATTGTTGTTTATGAAGATCTGGCGTATGAAGATCTGGCTTTATTCGGTTCCTTATTCAATTCCTGGGTGGGGTGGGGTTATTTTTGATTTAAAAAACAACAACAGTAAGAGACAGATGGAAAAAGGAACTGTGTGGTCTGAAGGCAGCTTTAGAGCACACACAGAAATCTCAAAAGAGACACACAACAGACTCTGTGTGTTTCTCCCTAGGGCGATCATGGAGCGAACCTTGGCCGTTGCTGTGAACATCCTTCCCAAAACCTCAACAATGTGAGTCAAGAGCCTAACCCATTTGATCCATCCAGAAGATGGGAGTGGTTCTGGATGGTCCATCCGTCCGGAAGGCCCTCCTTCCAATTTTTTAAGTAGGTTCTCTTCTTGGCTTTTCATGTAGGTATGTTTGGAAAGGCAACATCGAGCAGGCTACGGAAATACTTCTGGTAAGCATGCTGCGGTGGGTGGATGGGTTGTAAATATTTCAAATAATTCAGTTAATTCTTGGTTGAGCGAACATACGTTGCTTTCTGGAGGAAACGAGAATGCGTCCCTCTCCCCTTCTCAAAACTCTTTGTCTTTTATTTGTTGAATCAAAAACACACGGGTTGATGGTAAATCGGAAAATCAGCATCCGCACGACGCGGTTTTATTGGTATGATCCCACTTCATCTATTATGACCGCGTGCTATAAAATCCTGGAATTTGTAGATTGGAGTGGTACTTAAAGTTCTTTTTTAATTCCAGGGAGAGCATGAAAGTACTTTCGCAGGCATTTCTAAATACCTTGCCAAACCCTGAATCCCAAGGTTCTCTAGAGTAAATTAGATGCACTCTGTGGCATTAACGTGGCGCTCGCGAGATACCTAATTGATCTGTTTTCTTTTCCCGTCACAGCTGGTGAAAACAAAGACGTCTAAGATCAAAGAGTTGTCGGACTATATCAGGTGAATTTCTTCTGGCGGCTTTAATCGCTGGGGTGGGGAGTCCCTTCAGAAATCTTGGTCCAGGGAGCCCCCCCTTCTCCTGACTTACAAGTCACCCACCTTTCACAGAGAAGTTAGATGGAAGAGTATCTCCCGAAGTGTTATTTGCATCCATGAGGGCCAGGAACTTGGCTTTTGTAGGAAAATGGAAACAAGAGAAAACACAGTCAGGGAAGGTCGATCCCCCACACCTTTTTAAGACATTTAGATGTAAGGGGTTCTGCTAAAGTTTTTATTTGCATTCTTGAGGTCTAGGAACTTGGCTTTTTTCAGTCAAAATGAAAACAGAGAATAGGCAGGCAGGAAAGGCTGGTCCATCCTGTTCCTCTCACCACTAGTAGTTCCTATTTCCTCTCATTTTTCTGCTTCCTTTTTTTAGGTCCATTCATCCTTTTGAGATTCCAGAATTGATCAGCGTGCTGATTGACCAAGGAAACCCAGCCTATTTGCAGTGGATGGAGGAGAGCATCCCATAAAATGAGATATTATCATCCGGAAGATGCTTTGAGCCAGATCTTGTGAAAGTTGAGATAGATAACTCTTGCTGAAGACTTTGGTGTGGGTTCCTTCCTCCTTCGCCCAGGTGGGGGCAAGATGTACCTCACTGTGAAAGCGGGAAACAATTACGCTTGTCCTCCAGAGCTGCCTTGGGGGTATGATCCTGCTCTGTTGGAATGGTGGTGCCGAGCTCTCTCAAGCTTGCTCGCCCTGTAACGTTCTGCGGGTCGGGCTCGGCAAGGAAAACGGCAGAATGAGAATCAAATCTGAAAAATCATCTTTCGCTGTTGCTGCTCAGTTAAATTCTGCACTGTGCCTTCTAGAAGAAATGCCAGCCGGGGTGGCCTTGGGCCAGATGCACAGTCCCAGAGCACCCTCAGAAGCTGGGAATTGTAAATATCTTCTGTGTCTTCTTCTACCTAGAATATGCTGGAAAGGATTCCCATAAATCAGAACCAATCTGATGGCATGAAATTATGCATTATTTCCCTGGTGTGTCCATTCTACGTGCTGGTGGTCTTATAGAGCATTCTGCATTTCCTGCTTAATTCCGCAGAATGCCACTTCAGTATAATCCGGGAAAGAGCGATGCGAGGAACGGAAACTCTACTTTCGGCTCACTTTGAATTGGAAATGTAGAGAATCCCTCTTCGGAATCCACTTAAGAGCGAGGGGAAGCCCTCTTTTAATCTGCCGCTCAATCCCTTAAGCGCTAAAGCTCTGGCAACATCTGGACTTGGATTCCGCTACGACAAAGTTAAAGCACCGAAAGGCCTGGCAAAAATGGAAAGTGTGTGTGTGTTTTTGTGTACAACGTGGCACAAGAAGGTTAAGCCATTTCATTTATCTTTCTTTGCTTTTCTTTTTGTTATTTGCTCAGAAATTGAAACGGGGTCAAGTTGGGAGGTGAACCCATCCTGGTTTCTTCCGGTTGAGCAGCCATAAAATCTGGTTTTGTTTTTGAAAGACTTGAGAGGAGAGAGAGAGAGAGAGACCCTTGCTATATTCCAAGCTTCTCCCCTGAGCTTCTAGGATTTTTTTAAACACCCTAGCAAAACTCTTGATTTTAATTTTTTAATCGATTTCCCCTCCCTTCCCGTGGGAGATGGAGTTTAGCGCTCTGAGCACTATCCCACAGCAAATTCTGCGACGGCATGATAAGATCACGGAAGAAACGCCAACAAACTACGGGGAAGTAACACCGACTGCAGGGAGCGGTGGATCTTTGCTAAGCGCAGCGGTTGCTGAAATATGGGGTGGAAGCAAAGAAGTTGGTTGATGCACCTCTTGGTAAATCCCAGGAACGTCCGTCAAAACCCGGCGGAAAAGCAAGAAAACAGACATCTCACATTGGGAAGAATACTTGCTCATGCAATTCTCCGCAATGATTATTCGGAAGTCAACCTAGCTTACTCTGAGCGACGCGCATTTAGAATCATGGCCAAAAGTAACAAATTTCAACCCTCGGGAATCTCCCTCTTGTGTCCAGGGGTACCAAGAAAAGGCTTTCTGGCCCTCTTGCATGGATTGGACTACAATCCCTATCATCCCCAGGCAGCCTGGCCAAGTTGCTTGGTGATGATGTGAATTGTAGTCCACGCCATCTCTTTTTGGCCGTACACGGTAGGCAGTCCACCCACGTCACGACAACAGAAACGCCTTGGCAACATTTTACAAAAGACTTCTCTCTCTCTCTTTTTTTTAATGATCGTACATCTGATATATTAATTACAACTTGAACAGAATAAACAACCCCCCCCCAAAAATAACAATCCGTTGTTACAAAAAAAAAAGCAGCAATACGAAGATCCGTAAGTCTTTCGTATATATATATATATATATATCAATAAGAAGGTGCACAGAAGCATTTTGGGGAGAAAACAGTCCAAATTCATCCAAAAATAAAATGCTCATAGGAGGGAAAGTATATATTTTTTTCAAGAATGCTCCCTCTCAAATACTTTTAGTATGGCAGAGAAGAACCCTCTGTTGGGATCAGAATATTACCCTGTGCAAGAGAAAAAAGGCGGCCACACTGGATCGCATTGGACTACGTCTCTCATAATTCCTCAGTGTTGGCTTTGCTGGCTGATGGGAGTTGTGGTTCAACCCTATCTAAAGGTCCACTTTCTTTCCCTCCCCAGCCCTAAAATAGATAGAGCCACCCGCCCATCTGGTCCACCCTTACCCACACTGCCTCTCCGTCCATCGCCACGTTAAAAACGGCTCTGTCCTGATCGTCCGTCTCCACACCTCATCTAACTCTTGTGCAATACATTCACCCTCTGTGTAACGAAGGAAATAGGATTAAAAACGAGGGGGCGGTTTAAGGTAGGCACACAAACGAGGTCTCCCTCTGGTATCTCGGCCGAAGCTTTCCTGGGCACACGAAGAGTGCCTGGGGATCGGCCGAAAGAGGACACCCTTGACCAAGCGGTCTGGAATATTTATTAGAAATGGGCTTTTCCCCAGTTGTGGCCCAAATCTGGCTTTTCCACTCCCTTCGGGGGGCCCCAGCGCATCCTCAGTACGGAGTGGTCCCTTCCCATTCCACCAAGTACTCCACCTTCCCCTCCGGCGTCACCCTGCGTGCCAGGACCTGGTATTTCTCCCCACACACCAGCCTGCCGGCCGCGCCAAAATAGTCATGGATGGATGACTTCAGTTGGGAAAGGGGGGCATCATCTTCGCTCAGGTTCCCAAAGGCATGACCGTCGAGGGCGTCCTCCGGGCGGTCGGGGCCACAGGCGGCCTCGCCGTCTTCCGAGGAGCAGGCCGGCGGGATCCTCCGTGGACGCTCCGAGCATTTTTGCTTGGCCTCCAGAGGCGTGTACGTTTTGGACGACAGCTTGCGCTTCCGGCTGCCCACGTTCCTTTTGCTGGAGAGAACGAGAGAAATAAAATCGGATGCAACTGCTTCTTTACGGAAGAAGATGTTTTTGCCTGGCTTTTCTCTGTGAGAAGGACTACCCCCCCCCCCAGGCGACTTTTATATTGTTCAAAATTAGTTTGTTATATGAAATATAGGTAAAACGGGGAAAAATTTAAGATAATTAGACTTTTTTTTTTACTATATGAAATATAGGTAAAACTGGGGGAAAAATTTAACACGTTAAGATAATTAGACTATTTTTTTTACTAGAAGCAGGCGACTTCAATAGCATTATCTCAACCCTTTGATAGATCTTTTGTACATAGGGTGGGGTAAAAACTGCGTGCACGCAAGTGCTGCATTGATTGAATTTCTCCACAGTCACAGAAAGTTTGTCCCGTATCCATAGAACCCCATTTTACTTGATTCTTTTTTGATCTTCCCACTTTGCTTCGAAGTATGCGAATATCTAGCAATAAAATAAAACACTTTATAGACTGTACAGCTTAGTCTAATCAGTGGGTCAAGAGAGGTTCCAGATGTGGCTTTTCTCATGATGTAACTAATTACAAAGAACATAAGTGACAGTAACTAGTTACCTGGGGAAGTAGAGTAGCCCCCCAACAAAAAAAAAAAGAACGTTTACACTTCCAAAGAAAGAAAAAGGAATCGCTTAGGAAGTGTTAACATTTATTTTCCTAACAATCGCCAATAAATTCACTTCTAGATTTCAGCTTCCTTTATATTTTGACAATCCAGGGCAAATTTGCCCGACCCTCATTAGGGCCTGATTGTGCGTTGCTGACCAGTAACATCTCAAGGGGCATATTTTGCTCTTCCTTCAACTCAATTGTGTTTTAATTCGGCCGTGCGGTCGTTTCAGACGGAGGGGCGAGTGAGGTTTCGCTTAGGAAAATAAAGGAAGAGAGAGGGACGGATGAAAGGAGATGTCTACAAGATGTCTGCAGGGGGGCAAAAATAAATACTTTTTTAAAGCAGGCTAAACACAATACAACACGGCACCTCTTGCCTTCCCACCTGGAATCGTAAGACAGGCTGGTGGTCGCTGATCCAGACGTGCTGACGGCGTCGGTGGAATCCACGTCGGAAAGGAAAGTGTGGCTCGAACTCCTGCTAGAAAGAAGGACAAGGAGAGGGGAACAGAGGACAGCTGGCTTTAAAACCCAAACCAGAGTTTGCTAGCTGGCTAGGGGATTAGGGGAGACAGCTGGGGAACTCAGCGATTGAGGACTCTGGCCCCATAACCATAGGTTAGGAGTTTGATTCTCCCTTCTGGGAGAACAGCCAGCCAGGGTGGCCTTGGGCCAGCTGCACAGACTCAGAAGAAAGGAAAGGGGGAAATGCATTTCTGAGTCTTCACGGCCTGGGAAACCTTGGAAAGGGTCACCAGAAGTCAGCGTTGACTTGACGGTGCAGGATGATCGTTACTCTGAGGCCAAAAAAATGGAGACTCGGGTCTAACGGTGGCTTTACCAGCCGTTACCTTTTAAGACTCTGGATTTCGTCCAGAGAGAAATCAAAGATGCTGGCCAGGTGGTGGTTCGTGCTCCAAGCCGAAGCGAAATCGCTCTGCAAGTCGGAAAAGGGGGAAAGGAAAGGAGAGAGAGAGAGAGAAAAAGGTTGATCATGAAACATCCTCCAATGGTGTAAAGCACGCGCAAACGAGAAACATCTCCCTCTGAGTCAGGCCCCTACTCTCCATCTTGGGTCTGATTTAGACTGCTGAAAGCATCAGGTCGAATGTTTGGGCACCCGGGCCTTTTCCCCCTCCTGCCCTTGCCCATTTTTGGTCCAATAAAAGGATGATCTCCAACCCACACGTTTCCATGGCAGAGTGGGGGATTCGAACTCAGGCCTCCCCAGCAGAGATGGGCACAAACCAATTTGTCCCAGTTCTGAGTGTCCTGTAACCTTATCACAGGTCCAACAGATCCTGCGAAAAGCCACCTACAGCTTCTGGGTCAAGGGCACTCCAGAACGTCTGGTTTTGAAGCCCAATAGCCTGAAGGATAGTGCCCGTGACATCAGCCAGTCAACAAAAGATCACAAAAACTAACACTGGGAATGGCGTCCTCCAAGAGGAATTTCGATCTTTTCCGCCTCCTTTCTTGGTGGAGCTCACAGGGCACTGAACTGCGGAAGAAAACAAAATCGGAAGTCATCCCTTCAAAATGCATCCAGTTAATCATGATAATTATGTGCTGTCAAGTCAGTTTTGACTTATGGAGACTCTTCTTGGGGGTTTTCCAGGCAAAGAAGACTCAGAAGTGGTTCCCCCTTTCACCGGTGACTCCCATTTCAGAGGGGCTGTGAATCCATTCCGGGTTTTGCTGTGCTTTTCCCAAGAATTCCCCAAGTGATTCAATCAGGGAGGTTCAGCACTATGGACAGCAACAATCAAAGTGGAGAGTAAAACCTGGAGTGGAGTCCCCAGCTACTTTAGTGCAAGTCTCAGCAATGGGGCCTGGCTGATTGCTGCCCCACAAGGGTTCCAAATGATGATCCCTGGTTCTAGAAAGGAAGATAGTGCCAGCTTGGGGGGGGGCTGCTCTGGGATGCTTTATATAAGCCCTTCCACAAATACACAGCTTAGTGTAGTCATCAGAGAACATCATCCTATCTAAGGCCCTTGAGAGGTTTTAGAATCCAACCCCTAGCAACCTTGATCATTGCCCCTGGCAGGAGCGGGATTATGGGAGTTATAGTCCAAAATGTTTGGACATCTTCCAGTGGGGAAAAGCAGGTTAGACCGTTGGACTCTGACCTTCTCATCCCTACGCACTGGGTACCTC